TTGTTCAAGAGATTTATTGCAAACTTCAAATTTGATATTTTTTTCAGCGTCGTTGTTTTCACTCCCACTCTTCACACAACGAAGGTGACTCGTAGGCGCGCATTGATGCACTGGCAATTTATGCTCCGCTGCCTCGGGCGCGCCGACTTTGCGGGTTTTTGCAAAATTTTGATATTTTCTCAGAATTTCTGCATGTTTGGACTGCTACGTGGAGCTCCGACCAGTGTGAGAAGCTCCGCCTACTCAGAAGAGGCCCCGTCGGCTTTTCGAAAATGGTAAAACTTGGCAGTGTAGAGTCTCAGCTTGCATGCTAGGATATTGCTGGGTACTCGGAACAAACTGTGCCTAATTTATTTGTTGGGCGTGGCCAGAGGCGGAGCATCAAGTGCCAGTGCATAGATGCGTTTCTACGAGTCGTCTTCTTTGTGTGACGAAGGGGGAGGGTGGAAATTCGACGTTGTATAAAGTTATGAAAAGTCGAAGTTCGCAACAATTCCTTCAAATAATGGCGGCGTTGCCCATGTGCTGATGTACAGTTCTTTTCAGCTATTGTATTGTATTTGCGAAGTAACAAAAGTGCAAAAAGAGTCCTAAATGCAGAAAATAAGTTTTGAAAAATCACGACCACGCTAAATTAAGGACGTGGCTGTAGGGGCATAGACTGAAGGCAGTGAATCTGATTTGAAAAGTCGTGAGTTTGACTTGAAATACTTTAAAATGTCACGAGTTCGGCTCGAAAAACCGTGATTTTGATTTGAAAAATCATGAGTTCAAAGTAAAATTGCTATATTTCAAAATGAAACAAAACCTTGTCTGAACACCTGTGAGTATAACGCTTGACATACTATCACGTACTAAGGGTACGTTACAGGATGAGTGGGTAGTTTTCTTCAATACGTCCTCCCAAGACTTTTTTCCGCACAGCCCGACAGTACACACTAATGGTAACTTTTCAAACAGGATGTGTTCTTGCAGTCAGTTTTAAAAGAAGATAATCTGGTCCATGAGTAAAACCCTCCCTTGCCTAGTGGAACTGCGCCTGGAGCTGCAGGTTAGACCAGTATGCGAAGCTACAAAATCTACTGCCTCTACAACGTTGTGGATAGATGCGACTCAACCCAACCGTCCCTGCCAGAGAATCCCAAAACGAATCCAATCCTCCAAATGCAGAGAGCCATTACTGCAGCTCTTAAAAGTACTTGGATGAATGATGTAAAAGTTTAATCTAGGACGACTGCATTGTTCCCTTTTCTCGCAGAAAGGGGCCTATAATGTCAGTTCGCGTGTCGCATTCGTCACCATGGTATTTCGTCTATAGTATTGCTGCTAAGTGCTATTGCCCTGATAACGCATGTACAATTTACGTAGTGTTTACGGCTTTGCCAGTGAGGACAGCCGCCTTGTTCAAGACACTTTCTGGTAGTATTCAGCTATTGCAACGCTAAAATCTCAAAAGCTCCCTCTGCTTGAACGCACTCAGGTCGGATCAATTCATAACAAGTATAACACACTTTGTGGTGAGGTGCCATTAGGTGTGCATTAAGTGAAACTTGCATCTCCGGGGAGCTAACAAGGGAGGTCGTTCAGGGCGTGGTGAGCTTTTTCAAAATGGTCTTGTGCATATTGTAGGGGCACATACGAGGACCAGAAAACTGAGGTTCATTTTCGCTGCGCGCTTCTACGAATAAAAAAAAACGTAAAAAATAGGTCGATGGTTCGGATCCCACCGAGGACAAAATTTTGCTTTTCTACAATTTTTCATTTTTTGGATCCATGTTTCTAAATAATTGGTCCTAACAAAAACATTCACGATAAACTGAACAATCCTACTTTTATGGAGCAAAACTGCTTTTTCGTTCGAATTCGTTAGTATGCACAGACTCAGCTCTTCGGCGCTATGCCGGTGCCAGATGGCACTGGAACCGAAAATAAAGTCTAGAATCGTGATCAGGACTGTCGATTACCCCTAGGAGCAAGTTTTGAGCGAAAAATTTTTTTGACTTTTTCGGGCTGTAGGTGAGCGACCATTTGGTCGGCAGCATGAGCGGAGTCTCACATCTTCGCAACAGCGATGACGTATCGTGACGCTACGGACTCCGGACAACCCAATAAGCAAACCCAAGAACGTCAGAACAATTGTTTTTGACCCGGAAATATGTTTTTTAGATGTAATCAGTGGCCTGATCAAAGTATGTATATACACCTTAATTCTTGCCGTCCAACGCAATTTGGCGACAGTTTAGCGCTGAACGTTCCCTATATTGGTGCGTAACGAATTCAGTGAAAAGAAGATGTGGCGCCAAATTATCTACAGTTGACAGCACATCAGAAGTTACTAAATTCGCAATCAGATCCACTGTCTAGCCTATGGGAATCAACGTCCAGCAACAATCTTGTTCAATGGTGCGTGAGAATCGAAATAGTTGAATAGCACTGACTCATGAGGTACAGTTACTCAGAATGTGCCCATAAATGACAAATATCCGAGTTATATTCAGAGAGTGTCGAGAGTTAGACCTGATAAATGTTCCACCCCACAATGCCGTAGAACGAGCAAAGGAACTGCGACGTCCGTAGAACGAGCAAAAGAACTGCGACGTCCAAAGAATCCTCTAATTCAGAAGGTCAGTCCATTCAAATCTCACTGACGACATGTTGATTTATAAAATAAGTCTCAGATATAGCTTAAATAAAGTATCCGTTGTACTGCTAATCAGATATGTCATATCAATAAATAATGACGGAAGCACGTCTAGAGCAGATATGTTTGAAGGACTAAATTACTGAAATGAAGTACTTCTATGATTGATTATACAAATAATTTTTGGGATGACGTTCCTTTCAATTTACTACTTGAACAGTGTACGGTTTAAGTTGCACAACAGGCTGTTTGTTCTTAGTACTGCCGCTAAAGGGAGCCATTTAAAAAAAAAAAGATTTTGTGATTACGCTCGAAGAGATCGTGCAAAGAGGCTGAGGAAAGAAATGCATGAGCACTTCAACTTGCCCGATAGAAAAAAAAGCAAGGGAAACCCAAAAGTTCCCGAAACAATTTCTGAAACATTGCTCCAGGTGAGTGGAAAGAAAGTGATGGGGATCTCGGACGAGTTACCACGGAAGAGCAGCGAGAGGCCATGAAAATGAGCAGGACGACTGATATGACATAGCAACGTGGACGGAGTCATTTAAGTGTCCTGAACGACCTCGGCATACCCACCTTGCACCATTCTCACGCGGAACTTGGATAAGGTCGGCCGTCTACTCAAATTACAATTCCTCGTAAACATTTGTATCCTTCAGTTTTCTCCCACAGTGGCCCGAAAAAAAGTTCTGGAAAAGATCAATGCTCAAAGCTCCTTCGTTAAAAGTCTAATGGTGTAGAAAAAACCACTACTCTCTAAACAGCACCATTTTGACACAAATTCTATTACCGCAGTAACCCTGTTTCCAGTTGGCAGCTGTGCAAAATGCTAAAAACCTTTATCAAGTACAATCAGAGCTCTTTCTCTTAACATTTCGCGGAACATATTTTCCGCCTCGAGCACTGCTACTTCTGAGAACAGCCACTGATGCATGCTCATATAGTTATCATGGAATAATTAGCAGTAAATTATCCGCGATTCTGGATTCAACTAGGCACAGGAAAAAACCTTTTCATTAATTACGTCCTAGTCTTCGTTCTCCACTACCTCCATTCCATTTTGCAACATGCTCCGCTCAGCCGACTTACGCCAAGCTACGCTCGAATGCCTCCTTTTTACGTTCCCTGGTGCTCAAATCTAAGGCTACAAACAGGACAGACAGAAGGGTGTGAGCACAAGTTGGCAGACTTTAGGTTTACTCTCATCATGTTTCCAAAAACCAAAACTGCACGCTCAACCTTGA